CCCTACCATTAAGTAACTTGTGCATTGTTTTACTTACTTGTTTTTGATGTATCCGACCAAACTACAAACTTTCCAGTGATGTCTGTGAGAAAGGTATATTCACTCGACAAGCTCGTGCATCTGCGCCACTGCGCGCTCAATCCACTCAGCGCGCTTTGCTTATCAACTCGCGCACTTCAGCTATACAGGCATTAATACTGAATGTTTAACATTATATTCATTGCATACATATACTTCGTAGACATCCTTAATCTCTAATAACTCCATTCTGCTGTCTGTTGTTCTGTGTTCTGTGTTGTTCTTGTTGTCGTGTTTCATTGTCTGAATATGGCACTTATCACATGCTGTGTGGTATCGGGGCATTTTAACGAGTAGGAGTAGGAGTACAGGAGCTTAGTATCGGGCCCGAAACCGATAAGTGCATCCCTAGTTGATGATGTAGTATCGTGAACAGTAGAGATTGGCATTGCTAGTACCATGCTCTAGCAGTTGAACTACAGGAACTCAAAAACTAATAAAAAAATAAATACAATAATAATGTAAAGATTGAAAAAAAACATGACTGAGAATTAATCATTTACAAATCACGAAAGAAAAGATTAGTTTAGTATTGAATCAAAGCGTTAAGCTTTGGTTTAAAAGCTCACCATCTTGCAGATGGACATGTGTATGAATCAAAAAGAAAAGTACAAAAATATCTGTCTTGAACTGAAGGATCAGTGGAAGTCAAATACTGTTTTGAGCCTCAGAATGGAGACTTCTAAATGTGTCAATCTGCCTTTCCAACAGATTAACTGAGTAAGCAACTTAGAATTAGACTTTTAAAGCAGCATTTGATAGCACTATTCTGACTACTTATGGCTTATTAAAAATAAACTGAGAATATCTGGAAGACATGTTTCCAGCATCAGCACATTTCCCATCATTTCTTCTGAGTCACAGATTCAAATATGACTGGGTGAGTCTCAATCCATTTCCTCAATCTTATTCAGAACCTGTAACGTACAGTTCCATTAGCAGTTATTGTGTGTACATTCTTACAGCGATGAGGACGGAACACCATAATAAAAAATCCCTATGAGCGAGTTTCCCACAATATTCAATGGTGCTGCAACAACGCTTTTGAATCTGCAGCATGAAACAGTCAGCGCTACCCATTTACACTTTAAAAAATAGCTTTACAAAGTTGTAAAATAAATTTTGGAGCAAGTTTTATGAGAAAATACTATTTCAGTCTTTCTACTTCAAAATTAAATTTTTAATGTGCTACTTGCTGATTCTTTGTAACTGTCTGTGAAATTTACTAGCATTTCTGAGTGAAAATTGTTCCCATGCTATTTTTTTTTCAGTGTAGTCCAATTCCTGAATGAATGACTCTTATAAGGCATTTCTTTTTAGCAAATCAGTAACAAATAGTGCAATCTGTTTAATTTGATTTCCCTCTGCATGTGAATCAGTGTATTCACCCATCACAATGAGCTCTGGAACAACAACAGCACTGCACAGACCACATACTGTTCTCGACTCAACAGCACTGGGGAGAAGCCAGGGACATGCTTGATATCACATTACCAACACCATGTTGGTTTATGCTTTAATCCAATGCAAATCCCAAAGCAGCTTTGATGGTCCAAAATAATTCATATGAGAGAAGAGTGAAAAAAAAGTGATGTGATGTGTAGCCAAGTATGGTGTCCCATACTCAGAATTTGTGCTCTGCATTTAACCCATCCAAGTGCACACCCACTGCAGAGAGTATAACACACACACACACACACACACACACACCGGAATAGTGGGCAGCCATTTTTGCTGCAGCGCCCGGGGAACAGTTGGGGATTTGGTGCCTTTCTCAAGGGTTTCACCTCAGTTGTGGTATTGAGGGTGGAAGAGTCATCTCTCATTGGGTCATTCACTCTTCCCACCTACAATCCCTGCCGGTACCAAGACTCAGACCCGTGACCTAGGTTACAAGTCCGATGCTCTAACCATAAGGCCCTATGAATATAATGAAACAAATGATGTAAATCTGATTCTTTGCCCATCAATTGTTTTGAAAGGAGTTAAGTTCTCAACTTTATAGGAAGCAGATTTTAGTGACCCAATATACCATACCAAATTTTGTTATAAAACTGTAAAAATATTAACAATAACATAGGTTGAATGGAAGAAAATTTTAATAATAAAATTAAGACTTAATAATTTTACACTGTCTTTTAGTTTGTTTAGTTTGAGTGTTTGGTTTCTAAAGATCTTTTGAATTTTGATGATTTCACACTATCAGTAGCCATATTCAATTCAATTCAAATTTATTTGTATAGCGCTTTTCACAATACACATTGTTTCAAAGCAGCTTTACAGAAAATGCATGTGTCTACACTACAATTTAGAGTGATCTTTTATCAGAAGTGAATGTGTCCAAGCAATGTTCATTTCAAAACAGTTCAAGATAATAGAATCATACAGTTAGCTAACATGAATTAATTTTAGGCAGAAGCTTATTAAAGAGATTGTGATCATAATGATTACAATATAGAGAAATTTTGGCTGTTGTGCATGTCAATTCAAGTTGGCATCATCTGGGGTCCTCAAAGGGGTCAGCATCATCTCTTCACAGGTGTTGGATCATCTGAAGTCTTTCTGTAAGGCTGGATTCACGCTGGAGCTGGCATAATCTCTAGTTACTTCGAGATGGGCAGGAGTTCTTTTTAGCAAATCAGTAACAAATAGTGCAATCTGTTTAATTTGATTTCCGAATAAATTACTCTAAATGTGCAGTCACATTTACTGCTTTTCGGTGAATTTTCATTGGTGAAATCCATCCAGTCATTTTAATTGGAGTACACACGATGTGTGAGGACAAAATATTTCCCCATGAAGATTTTGCAACAGGTTTAAGCTGGTCATGCAGATTTGTCGCGCTGACCAAATGAAATATGCTTGGTTTGAAAGTGAATTTCTTTCTGTAAGGCTGGATTCACGCTGGAGCTGGCATAATCTCTAGTTACTTCGAGATGGGCAGGAGCAGAAAGACAAATGGAAAAGAATTAGCGTAGCTGCTGTTCATAACGTTTCAAGCAAAAAATATGATTGTGACTTGTTTGTGATCTGATCTAACTAGGAACAAGGCTATGAGATTCATTATGTGAATGCTTGGCTGAAGAGATGTGTACTTAATCTAGATTTAAGCAGAGAAAAAGTGTGTTTGAGCCCCGGACATTGTCAGGAAGACTATTCTAGAGTTTAGGAGCCAGATGAGAAAATGTTGTACCTCCTTTAGTGGGCTTATCCTAGGTACTACTATGATTTTGAGCCAGTATACTAAAGTCCAGAGTTTCGTGACCTTAAAGAGCGGGATGGATTGTAGGGCATAAGAAGTTAAACATACAGGAGCTAAACCTGTAAAAAAATTTAGTGCCTTATAGGTCAGTAGCAATATTTTGAAATCAACATAGAACTTAATAGGTAACCAGTGTAGAGATGATATAGAGATGATACAATGTAGAAATTATATTGTGTATTGTGTTCAGGACAATATGTGCAACACCTGTGGCCGAATATGTACCTCAAGGATTGGCCTCTATTCTCATCGTAGGACACATCAGCAGCAACTGTGATGAGATCTGTTGCATCGACAGCTCAGACCAAGGCATTTGTAATCTGTCTAGTATATTCATGTACTTTATAGTTTTGTTCATCATTTTTAAGGATATCAACCTGTCTGTGTTCAGCATATGCCTAATTCAGCCAGTTTTTACCAAACAACAAAAACAAAATTTTGGATTTGACAGCTTTGACATAAACAACAAAAGGTATGGGATGTGTTTTCTCCTACCCTTCATATTTTGCTATCAAAATATAGGATTATATGTATTATAAGATTATATATTATTAATATATCATTGTTTTCTCTGCTGTCCTGAATCAGAACAGATTTGTGACCCATTTTAGGGTCACAGCCCCTGAGCTGAGAGCCACTGCTGTACATAATACATGTTAGGGACAAAGATAAATGGTAATGAGTGGAGAAACTGTTAAATTATATAGAATAAAATACTACTACTGATTACAATCCTAAATTAAATACAGAAGTATGAAAACAGTTATTAAATTTCTAAATCTGCAACACACCAACTCATCGCAGATGTTTTGCAGTGACTTGGCAGTCTCACTTAGCAAGCAATTTTCCCTACAGATGCACCCTCTTGAGCCTTTCCCTATTTTCCATATGAATCCTCAGGTCAGGGCAAGAGCCGTGACTGTTCAGCCCCTCTGATGATAGCAATCAGTCAATGTAGAGAGGCACATCCAATATCGGCCAGCTACTCTTCAGAGACAGATCAGCTGTTCGTACAATTCCCCTCACTGGTTCAACACAGATAAAGCAGAACCAACAGAAAACAAAGGCAATGAATGCATAATTTTCTTTTTCACATGTTTTATGGTTCTCTTCCTTTTGCATCCTCTGGGTGTTTCGGTTGTTGAGCTACAGCACAAGAGAATAAGATAATGAGTTTTGTTTCAGAAGATAGATGGGGAAATTTAGTTGGTTTGCATAGCCTACTGTACATGTTTGTTTAAAGAGGGTGACCTTCATGTCCACAATCACCACATGTTTAGGGTTTCCAACCTTCCAGTATAAAACAGAATCATCTTGTTTTTAAGGGAACATAATCACATAAATCCACATGGGATATAGTTTTCTGCCTATTGCTGCAGTATGTATTAAGTTTGATTCAGTTTTGCTGTTACATTTTCCTCCGCTGAAACTTGTAGACCTGTTGCCCATTAGGTAAAAGAGGGGTTTTTGAAATTACAAGTTATTCAAAATTATTACTTTTGGAATTACTTCCCAAACACTGCCTGAAAATGACAGCCACACTTTAAATTGATTTTTAATGCCAGCTTTTGGGCAGCAGTTATTAGTGGAGACCAATGTGTATGCTGTCAACCATGACAGAGGGTTGAACAAGAATGTCCATTGTAAGCTGATATGGCAGCTGGAGGGTTAACAGGGCTGTTCATGATAAACAGCATGCCACAGTGTGAATAAGCAAAAGCTTTTCAGTACTCGGTAATTGTTTGGAATGACAACTACTCATGAAGTAACTATGAGAATAAGCTGGGATGTCTTGCTCTTGAGCATGCCTCAAAAGAGGGCTTACAATGACTTACAATGATACATAGCAGCTACAAGTGTATGCACTACTTGCTTAATGCAAGCACTATATAGGATAAATCACTATACAGGATTTACCCCATTATACTTTATCGAGACGAATTGATAGGTGAAGCAACAAACAGCCACCCACAAATAGTCTATAAACAAAGCATCAGGCTGTCTTTGAGTTCACATGAACAACGGTTAAAGTTATTCGTCGTTCAGGCTACAGAAGAATACCATAATTCCTCTGCTCAGTTAAGCCTAAAACATCGAGAGTCACGCAGACCTATAACAACCCAGCCACAACACATAATTGCGAATAACATGCCTAACCTTAATACAGAATCGACCACAGAGTCCAACATTTATATTTTTTCTACGAATCTTTGAGTTAACGTGTACTAAACATGAATGGAATTTGCATCGCAGCACCCCCACACCTTGATGCTCATGACAAGAACAGCATGCATAGTTATCTTTATTGAAGTGAATTAGGTTTAAATCGCCGTCATGCATGAATGAATGATATTTTTGCAATTTTACACATAACAATCCACCATGATCACATTACACAAAACTGAAACTGCACGTCAAAATAACAAATTGTCAATATTTTTTGAGACCCCCAAAATTTCACAAATTCCGTTTTCAGGGGAGCCCATGTCTTATTAAGGGGAGCCGAGCTGCCCATAGCTCCACCGTAGTTCGCACCCTGTGCGTATCTAATAACTATGAATTACGTATTTATGTTTTCCACAGCTTGAAATGTAAGAGACATGCACTCAAACTTGCGATTCAGAGGGTGGAAGTGCTCTCATCAGTCGACTCCCAACATTAATGAGGTAAGAGAGACTTAAGCAGTGAATTACAGGTATACATACAGTAGTAGAATGTATCGGATTGGGTTTGAACATTTTGAAAGTGTAATTTTAAGTTTTCAAAAGACATACAGGTGAATCTCAAACTGACAAAACGTGTCCATAATTTTATGGGCAAATTCATAGTATACCTAATAAACTTATAAACTTGTAAATACCTTTTGCATCAACCAAGAGATAATGTGGCCCCTTATTTGATTATGTATTAATGATGACTTGTAAAATTTGTGTTATTTCACGTGTGTCAATTTCTTAAAATATCATAATATTTGTCTATTATAAGAACTAATTTAAAACTATACTAATTAATTTACAACAAACATATTTGTTTATGTAAGACATGCATAAAAGCTACAAATAAAAAAATAGTTCAAGTTCATCCTTTCTGCAGTAGTTACATGCATAATATTCAAACCTCTAATCTAGTTGATCTAAGATTATAGGTATCAACATTATTTAAATTGTGTAAAGCAGTGTGGAATATGATTGTAATGGGGCTGACGAGACGTGAGACGTGCGGATCCATTCGCAAAGCTTTATTTTGGAGAAGACAGAGACGTGGTCATCAAGCAGGCAGGGTCAAACAGTGGCAGACAGGTATATGGCGGGCAAGACACAAGAATACTCCTAGGGCTAGCGTAGGTCAAGTGCGAGAGTCAATGAAATTGGAAAGGGTGACCTCTGATGGCTAGCAGATGGAAGTTCATGGACCGGATTCGTGACAATGATGATTATGATGATGAACATTTTTATTCTTTTAAAAGTGTCTAAACTTAAATTGTGAAATTGTATTCAATAAAGTACCACCTGTATTTGTTTATCACAATTTTATTTTTACTAAGTACTTTGTCTGTACAACATCATCTCACATTGTCCTTAATTTCTGGTGCATGTAGAAATTACAGTTTTTCAGCATATGTTTTCAGTATGTTGACTGAACGTTCACTCTTTTCTTGGTAATTGCTTAGTTTTTCAATCTGTGAGCCAAAATTCAGTATGGTAAACTTTAGTCTTGTGGTGTGTGATCATGTTTTGGTAATACATTTGGAGGTTGGCTATTGTAATTGAAAACAACCGTTTCAGCCACACTATTTGGCCTTTCCTGTAAATCAGCAGTGATCCATTGCAAATAAAATTAAGGTGGCAACTGTGTAAATTAACAGTAATGTCTCAAACACTGTTGTTTATTTTCTAAGGATTTCTGTTTTATCCAGCAGAGGATTGTATTTGTTAAACATTTAGCCGGAAAAGCATTTCTGTTGCCTTCAAATCACCTGAGACTTTTCTGACAGTATATTTATAGTTTTTCTTGGTTTATCTGTAACTTGCCAAAGTAAACATGCAAAGGTTTAGTCATCATGTGTTTATCAGTTGTTGTAAATATACAGTACAGAAATCTGTGCAATATAGTTGCTATTGATATTTTTACTGCCTCATGATTTCATCATAAACAGTACGACTGTCTAACATGTTATGTCTGTCTTTTTGCCTGGGTGAAATTCATATTTATAGAGGGGTAATAAAAGACCATAGATATCACAAATGCAGTACAACATCAGTTATTTCTTCTTCAGGCTACATGAATAGCCTGAAGAAGAAATTATTTATTTATATTATTTCAACTTAAATGAATATTCAAACTAGTTCATGAGGAAATTCTATTTGTTTCTTGTCAATGAATTGGTCAAACCAGTTCATAAAATATATTGGTATGAACAATTCATTAATGAAACCATCTTAAATTCATCAAGTGCATTCATTGAAAAGTCATGAGAACTCTGCCTTGTACATCTAATATGTATTTAACCCAGAATATTTCTGTAATATTTTGTAAAAGTTGAAGCTTCGTACTAAAGGTCTTATACTTCACAGGCAGTGGATAATGAGTATTGCTGGCACCAAAATGCCATGACACCATGGAGGAGTCTGAGGACTAGATTGGAGGACCCAGGGAGAGGAACACCCCCTTTTTATCTAGCTCTACATCATTTGATGAACCTTGGAGATCAGAAAACACTTCTAGTCCTTTTTTATTCCTGGGCCGGACACGCAGTGTCCCTGAAGCTCTCCATTGCTACAGTAGACCCACTTTACGGTCAAGCTTCTCCTCGATCACCATCACCGCTCGCAGTTTGTCTCCTAAAAGGGATTGTACAGCTTATTTAAACTCAACCTTTTTACTCAAGTTTACTTCCTTCCTGAACACTCAAATATGGCATATTATAAATATACACCCCAGCATTTCACTGTGGCACAGACCTTGTGTTCATATCCAAATGTGTGTAGGAGGCTCTTGAGCTGTTTCGTCCAGATTTCATCTCTCGCTCTCAGAATCGGGTGCGACGATTGGAACTGAGGGCCAGAGAGAGGAGGAGCTTACAAACAGCTGAATTTATCATGGGCGTGGAGACAGCTAACCGTAGGCGGAACTACACCAAGCCACACCCACTTAGTGGTAAGATACTCTGTTTTCATTAGCATCCTTCCTATGCACAGTTGAAGGAGCTGTGGTGGAGATCTAGTGCTGCAGCAATGCAGTCTCAGTATTACTGCTGTAACCATTCAACCAGGTATCAACAGTAGCAATGAACAATGAATCGGAAATGGTGAATCAGTGCGGCAAATGCCTGAGAAATGTGCCAACAGTGAGTATAAGGGTCATCATCTTCAAATTTGTAGAGCAAGCACATTGCACTGAGACACATTATTGATGCTGTCACAGGATGACATAATTCAGCTCTGCAGTGAAACATATGCTGCATTAGAAGTTCGGTAATATCAGAACAAACTTGAGATGGGACAGACTTATTAAATGCAAACAGATACAATAGAGATCTCAAAGACCTCTGCATGTATTACTGCGGCCCTGTTGAGAATGAACAATGAATCTTTAAAAGTTAATGACAAGTCCTGTTTCTCATGCAGCTAACTGATGCCCCCTATTGGCTCCAATAGAATTCTGTAAAAAATTTCTCATTCATAAGTTACTGTATGTGCAACTGCAATATTTGTTCGGTAAGCTCATAAATGCTTAAACAGTTTATTGATTTGTAAGGCTAGGCCAATAAGGTAACAGACTAACATCCTTAAAAAAAAACTGAAATTGAAGAATAAAATGTAATGATTAAAGGGGTCATATGATGCTGCTAAAAAGAACATTATTTTGTGTATTTGGTGTAGTGAAATGTTTTTATGCGGTTTAAAGTAAAAAAACACATTATTTTCCACATACTGTACATTATTGTTTCTCCTCTATGCCCCGCCTTTTTGAAACGCGTCGATTTTTACAAAGCTCATCGGTCTGAAAAAGTGAGGTGTGCTGTGATTGGCCAGCTATCCAGTGCGTTGTGATTGGCCGAATACCTCAAGCGTGAGACGGAAATGTTACACCCTTACCATACTGTGATGCCGGGTCCCGGCCGGAAAACCCATTACAAACGAGGCATTTGTTGCATCCAGTGGGGACATAATTACTGATTATAATGACTTATACTGTCTTTTTACACGTTGCGTTGCATTGCATCACACCGCGTAAACATAAAACTCTGTCTGCATTTGTGATCGGAGAAATGACAAACAACAAGTGCTACTCTAC